ACGATGTGCACGGGTAGCAATAATTGCTTTTCGTGCTGGTGTAGAATGCAGAGTCCGCTGTAAAAGCCACAACACATGAGCGCACGGGCGAGGCCATGTAACCTCGCCGAATCTACCCAATTCCTAAACTGACTCAGTTATCATATGCTATGTGCCGTTGGTGTCAACTTCAATTTGCCGGTGGCGGGTGGATTAGGGCTCGTCACGAAACGGGTTCGACGCAGTTAGTGGAGCTTTGTTTACGTCCAAGGAAGGGATAAGCCTGTCATCAAGCTGCCACTCTATGTCTCACAACGGCGCCCAGTCTTACCCACTGGTGAAGTGGCAGTGAGCAATCTTCCAAGGCCTGCTTCAGTTCCTCTACTAGAGTGAGATCGCAACGATTAGCGATGGAGATGATCTTTCCTTGAGTATCCACAAAATCGTATGCCACACGATCTCCACAACGGCTGGCTTGATCCGCTGCACCACGGCGGTGCAGGGTCGCTCGAGTCAGCCCTAAAGAGCTGGCGCATGTACCGGTGGATTCAACCCCTGGAAGCAATCATTGCTCCATCCCCGCAAAGCCGATCGGATAGCCCGCGATCAATTGTTCTTGATGACCAGGTCATGTTCGCCGAGCTATCGGTCATGTCGGCAAAATCCTCGATTGCGCAAGTGCTGCAAGCACCGCTGAGTCGGTACGCTAATGTTTTGATTGGCTGAGTGACATGAGAATTGCGCTACCATCGGAAGTGCATCAAAACACCTGCTTGCCGGCTCGCTATACCTTCTCCGACGTATCTATGCGCAGCACGTTATTCTGCTAGAATTCTGCTCGAGGCCCTGCATCGCGGAGGATAAACAACCCGGGAGCTAGCCTGCATCTAATTTTGGAAGTTGCCGAACGCACCACGAATGGCATATCGTGACGAAAGTGCGGCTGTTTATCGTGAGCCACCAATATTTGTCTTTCAGGCGACCCATTCCACCTCGTCAAGATGAACCTAGGCATGCCTCTCATTGGCAAGTAGAGTAGTAGCAACTTCCCGTAGCTCCGCATCGCTTAATGCTTGTGTTCCGGACACTCGTTTGCAACGCTACCTAGGTACACCAGAAAACCAGTACTAGCAAATATCAACAGCGCAGCCATCGCACCCTGCATGACACTCGTAATTGCGCCACTGCATATTGTTTCTTTCAAAAAGCGATGGCTATATCTGAAGACGAATTCACAAAGCCGGCACAGTTGTCAATGCCCATCACTGCTGATGTGAGAGACTTTCGCTGTATCGGAGTGATGGTGAATCTAGCTTTGTCGTAATTGGTTATCGGGTAAACACTAGATAAAAACGTATTTCCAGTTCGGGGCACCGTACAATTCTTTGGATCCAAGTAGCTTACGATAGGAACGTTCTCGAACCTGCGGTCTACCTTAATCCGCCCATTAGAGGTGATATAGGGTTCATCGAATAGGTGTCGCTCGTTGGGTATCGTGGCAGTAACGACATTGTTAGTGGTGATCGACAGGTGTCCGGTAAAGTTTCTGTCACCCATTAGCGCAAATGGCGGGCTTATGATGAGCACTAAACCTACGAAATGTTCGGCTGTACTCTCGTCGCGCCGCAGAAAGACCTGCTGGATGGGTCATTGTTGATTATCGACAATTTAATTCTAGGCCAGCATACCTAGGTAGCATGGACAGCCAAAAGACGCTCAGGACCGTCTGTACTACCGAGGTACGATGCTTCTAGCTGCTCCGAGCTGTTCAACATGTAACACTTTTCCTCTATATTCTAATTGTAACATGAGCCCAGTAAGGTCGAGCTTCGGGCCCTCGCGACATTGCCAGCGTGACTTGAACAACATCAAAGCTATCGCAATCATACCGTGTACCAAAGTACAATCTCAATGACCCAGCCCGAACCAGGACCAGACCGCAGTCTAAGTCTAAGGCGTACTGCACTCTATGCTTTCTATTCTTTTTGAATTCGATGGCTTTCTTTGACATGTTACATTGCCGAACTACCCAGTTAGCGCGGTGGTTCTGGGCTTGCCATGTATTGTAGACTATCGTGCGACAGCTGCCGCTACTCTCCTGATGGTAGATTTTTTCCTGGTCTCGGTGCTTCCATCCTTCTGCGAAGTGGCATTGTCGGGACTGAGGCAAGTACGCTTTCTAGCCGAGATTACTCGTGTGGCATCGTTTGCAGGGGCTGGGCATGAGTTCGTTCGGGCTCACATCGTAGTGGTCGGGAATACCTAGGTACTCTTGCATTCTTCAAAAACTCAGTGACTTGCGTAATAAGCACTGGGCATTGCTCATCAGCTAAATGCGGAAGGAGACGGGAAAAGTGACATGTACCTACCCAACGAGAACGCGGGCGAGCTCCCCGTATCCGCGAGTCATGCTTACGCTAAGCGCGCCCTTCGCCTAACATCCATGGATCTGAATCTTACAAAGATGCTACAAAAGCTGGAGAGTAGGCGCAGCATTACCTGGGTAGATATCCCGTTGATCCAGGTTCCGGACATTGAGACATAATGTGTGATACCAGGACAGACTTCGCAATCCCACGGCCTGGCGGAGCATTCCCACAAAAACCGCCTATCCCAGGTCCCTCAGAGTCATCTTTTGTTTCCACCTTTGGCGCCATCCTTCCACCCGCGCAATACCTGCAAACACAAGATGGAAAAGCTGCATACTACTCGATACCACCTTCGGTACCCTCCATAGACGCGCAGACGACTGATCACGTGCTGTTCGTTCATGGCATCCAGACTCCGGCAATAGGACTGCTACCTCTGGCTCGCGCTCTACACGATATCCTTCCACACTCACATTTTGTGCTGGTGGATCTCTGGGGTCACGGTTTAAGCGATACGCCGATAGTTCCGCATCAAGCCGCCACATTCCATAGGCTGCTAGATGCGCTGCTCGATCATCTGCAATGGCCATCGGCACATTTCATCGGCTTTTCCTTTGGCGGCTCACTAACAGTCGGATATGTTGACTCACGGCCACATCACGTTAGCAGTTTTACGCTCATTGCGCCTGCTGGGCTTCTTTGTATTTCATCTTTTCCAGAAGAGGATCAGCATCATCTTGATTACGGTGTCGATAACGATAACGATGAACTGAGCAGAGTCATCCTGCAGTTTCTCGAAGGCGGCCGGCTGGTAGTGCCAAGTGACTGGAGGGAAAGAGCTGGAAGAGGCGAAGTTGTTGCGGAGGCAGTGAGGGAGTGGCAGATGCACGAACATCGTGGTCATACATCATCCGTGATTGCAGCGTTTAGAGATGGCGGCGCAATGAACAATCACGGTGCGTTTGAAAAGGCCGCAATGTCTGGTATACCATCATTAGTGGTGCTGGGCGAGAACGATGAACTTTGTACAGAGCAAGAGTTGAGAGAAATTGGCTTTGATAGCATCTTTGTTGTCCCACAAGCCGGCCATAGTGTTGTACGGGAACGGGTGCCGGAGGTTGCTGGGTTTATCGCGGACTTCTGGGATAGGTTGAGGATCAATAAGAACTAGTGAACGCGGAGGTGAACGCGGAGATCCTTGCACTTACTCTATGATCAATTGCGCCTACTCGCCTCCTTACAAGAATCGGATCTGACTGCTTTAGTGCTCTGAACAAGCCGAAAACCACAGGAACCAATTCACTTTGACGACAATAGCCACTGTGTCAGATGACGCCGCCAATAGCGGCACATCATAGTGTCCCCACTCATTCAAGAACTCGGACAGCGGCTCTACGCCTGTGAGCCATCGACAACCTCCACAAGCACCCCAAACCCCAGCCCGTGTAGTAAAGATCGATGGCATAGCCGTCAGCTCTTCAGATAATCACGTACCCACCATCTCGACGGGCGGTGAACGACTATGGGTTAATCTGTCAGAGCTCAACTCGATCGCCAAGGTTGCCGCATACGCCAATCTTCAGGACCTTCATCTGACGATGGGTGCGCAGTATGATGCGCTTCTTGGCTAAGTACAACAACATGAGATACGACGAGGCAATTGATGTTGGTGAGCTCGTACGCATCATGATGCAGATGGGTGCCTACAATGTCGTTTAAAAATAAAAAAACGGTGTCTCCGGGATTGAGTAGAGCTTGGAACTATTGTTACATCGAGTTCGCGGAGATCGAAGCTAGAGAGTTCAGCATCAAGTACATGGATCGAGCTGGTTGCTTACAACGAGCGCAAGCAACATGTACCTAACCTACCTAATCTAAAGCCATAAGACACATGGGTGGTGAAAAAGTAGCACATTACCTTTCTTCCAACTTTCGCCCACGTCCGCAATGAGGCAGAACTCCGTTACCTTGTGTGCTACTGTCTTCTTCTTACGGTCGTCAACAATCTGTATCGCTTTTACGACATTAACGTGCCCCGAGAACCAAGGTTCACCGGCGTGCTTGTCGAGCTAAGCAAGAGGCAGTGGGAAGATGAGAGGTTCGAAACTTTGTAGATGTCGGGTGTTTTGCCCAATAATAACGATGTCTGGGACTGACTTTCCAAGCTTGACGTACAATAGGGAAGGCGGGTAGAGCATCATTGAACATCAGAGAGTGAAGTTGAAAGTGAAGCTCCGGCGGTTATCCCTGAGAACGCGACATAGCAACTTGAGAAGAGGAAGAGGCGTCGGAAATTCGGATCTGAGAGGAAAATATCGAGAGACGTTTCTGTATGTCACACAAGAGGTTTGCAGGCGAAAAGGGAGTGGGGGGATGGAAATATGTATCCCAGGCGTGCGTGGATCGTTGATTCGCACATTGGATGGAGTCAGTCAGAAAACGACTTAGCACAATTTAGTACAGCCGGGCGATGACCAAGAGGTCTCAGTTACCGACAGAACTACAATCAGGCTGCATGTGGGGCCATGCTTGTGGCGTGCCAGTAAGCGGACCCCACACTGTATCTACGGGGAAGGAGATCAGCACACCTACCACGAAAGACACGATTGCTCTCTCATCTGCCTGTATACTCACCATACTTCTCACTTCATTATGGCGCACTTTCCTCGCCGCCCTCCGTCCGGTGTCAACGTCATCATAGTAGGCGCAGGTTTCGCGGGCATCGCAGCAGCAATAGAATGCGATCGCAAAGGCCACTCAGTCGTTCTTCTTGAGAAAGCGGAAAATGTGGAAGACATAATACGGTTTGGCGATATCATCTCGTTCGATCCCAACGGTGCGCGCAACTTCGAACGCTGGCCCGGCGTCATCGAAGCGATGAAGGAAGTGGCACGGAAAACAACATGGCTGGATCTGTACCACTGGAAAGGGCAGTTTGTCACCAGGCAGAGTTTTGTGTCCGAACAGGAATGGGGGCCGAGAATCAATGGACATAGAGGAGAACTGTACAGTATTATTCATCAGCATGCTGTCGATCGGGGAGTGAATATTCAGTGGGGCAAACGTGTAACTGATTACTTCGAGGACGATGAAAAGGCTGGCGTGGTAGTCAATGGAGAAGAGATGATTGCCGATGCAGTCATTGCAGCAGAGGGAGTTCGTTCCCGCGGCCGTAAGATTGTGCTTGGTTTTGACGACAAACCGAAGAGTTCGGGATACGCTGTATATCGCTCATGGTTCTCTGGAGATGCCATCAAAGACAACCCGATCCTGAAACATCTCGTAGATGGAGACAGTCACTCTGGGTTCATAGGTCCAGATCTTCACTTTCTGGTATCGTCGCTCAAAGACGGCAAGGAGTTCAATTGGGTGTTTACTCACGTAGACGACGGGAATATCGAGGAGGACTGGCAATTCCCAGGCAGAGTGGAAGACTGCCTGAGGTATGTAGAAGGATGGGCACCCATCGTGCAAGAGATTGTAAGGTCGACGCCAAAAGGCGCGCGTCTCATCGATCATAAACTCGTCTTCCGCGATCCGCTGCCGACCTTCATCTCGCCACAGCACCGTATCGCTTTGATTGGAGACGCAGCGCATCCCTTTCTTCCAACATCCATCCAGGGTGCCAGTCAATCCATCGAAGACGGTGTTGTACTGGCGGCATGTCTGGAACTGGCTGGCAAAGAAAGCATTCCTCTAGCTGTACGAGCATTCGAGAAGATCCGCTACGAAAGGGTGCACAAAGCACAGGCGATGGGGGTTAAGACGCGCGAGCGATGGCACAAAGCCAACTGGGATGAGATAGCGAAGAGGCCGGAATCCATTCACCTAGCACGCGAGGCATGGCTGCTAAATTTTGATGCAGAGACCGACTGCTATGAGAGGTTTGATGAGGTTGCTAGGAACTTGCGGGGTGCACAAGCGCGACTGTAGGGAGCTTTGCTTGGGTAGCATCGTCGGTATATTGTGAGTGTTTGACGGGCCGAGCAGCTCACCTTGAGCGCACGGTATCTGCATGTGGCGTGCATCAGCGCAGGATAGCTTGCGCAGGCCTCACGCTACCTTTCTTATTTGAAGTAGTATTTGAACAACCTGGATTTTGGACAATGGTGATTCGCATCAATGATGTGGATGAGCTCTACGCTACTGCCGTCTAATGTCGCGCTAGCACCTGTTCCCGTCTATCACGTCACAACCGTGCACCTGCTACATGGGGCTAGCATGGAGGATGTTATCTATGTGCTTACAGCTACTGCAGTGTTTCTGTGCAACACAACAACTTTGCCAACTACCTATTACGAGAGCTTTCCGACTCACATTCGCCGCATCGTATAAGCCAACACGGGATTTACAGTGGTTGGTGATCAAGATGCACCTTCCTACGCTGTTCTGCTTCGTCGCCGCTGTCACCACGACGGCAGGTGTCCAGTTCGGCGACTTGAAAGATCCTATCAACATCCTAGGCATCGGACGCAACGACATCGAAATCTTCTTGGGCATTCCCTATGCTCATGATACCAGCGGCGAAAATAGATTCAAACCACCGATTCCCTACGAATACTCTCCAGGTACTACTATCGATGCTACCAAGCCTGGTCCCGCATGTCCACAACCATTGGGTGTGCTCTATCCACCTCTTGGATTGGGCAATATAACTGAAACATCCGAGGACTGCCTGAATTTGAACGTAGCGCGGCCAAAAGCGACTGACAGAGTTGGAAAGGGACCACTGCCAGTTCTGGTATGGATACATGGAGGATCTTTCTGGTGGGCAAGCAACACGGAGCCGACGACTGCGCCTGACGGAATGATCAAGCAGTCGGTAGAAAATGGGGACCCAATCATCCATGTGGCCATGAATTACCGTCTCGGGTTCTTTGGGTTTGCCAGTTCAGACTGGTTGAAAGAAGAAGGAAGCATGAACGCTGGTCTACGTGATCAGCGCGCTGCTATCGAGTGGGTCCGCACCAACATTGCTGCTTTTGGCGGGGATCCGGAGAGGATTACGATTGCCGGCCAGTCTTCCGGCGGCCTCGCAATCGGAATGCAGATTATGGCTTACGGCGGAGAGAAGCCACTTCCTTTCGAGCGAGGTATCGCCCAGTCTCAGTCCCTTGAGCCTGGTATCACAGGGAATTTCGCCAAGGATGCGATGATCGCGCTGGTCAATTACGTGGGGTGCAACACTACTGATGTGGACGCTCCAGGGACGATTGAGTGTCTACGGGGACTAGATACTGAAACACTCTTTGAAGCCTCCAACGCGACGTATCTCAGCGATATCGCGCATAATATTGGGGACATCTGGTTGCCACAGGTGGACGGCGATTTCCTTCCTGCGGCACCAAGTCAGCTCATCGCAGAAGGACGCTTCGGTAACGCTACCTTTATGTCCGGCTGGATGGAAGGCGACCTTAACGTGTACACCAACACCTCCATCGCAACCGCACAAGATACGTACGACTTTGTTCGCGACTACCTACCGGCTATGTCGGAGGAATCTCTTACTCAGTTACTGGACTTGTACCCGGTAGAAGAATTCGGAACCAGTGTGAACCTAACAGCAGAGTTCTATCGCTCTGCACGCATCTTCCGCGATATCCTCATGGTGTGCCCATCGCTACATCTGGGTGTTGCAATTGACAAAGTGCACAAAGCGCCAGTCTACTTCTACAACTTCAACCAGACAATACTTGATCCCATCCTCGAGTACACCGAAGACGTTGTTGGCTTTGGCGTGGTACACACGTCTGAGTTTGCGTACGTCTTCGACAGCATGCAAGTGTACAACAAGACGGACTACCCGTTTGACCCGACCGAGTACGACTACGAAATTGCTATGCGAGCAAGCCGGTCGTGGAGCACCTTTGTGAGTCAAGGAGCCCCGGCAGAGAGCGGATCACAATCCACCACATTGTTGAACTGGGATGAGGCATTTAGCCGGCCAGGTAAAATCTCTCATTTGCGAACTGCGTGTGAGGCATGCGCTGACTCCGTACATTAACATTTAGGCGGTCCGTATGTCAGGACGATTGGTGGCGCACATCCGAGCAATAGTGCGCTGGGCATGGCGAACGCGACAAGAGAGATGGCAGAACAGAGATTACAGGAGCGATGTGCTTTCTTTAACAGTCCGAAGATCATCCAAGCGCTTCAGTATTGAGGAGTAGCTCAGTCTGTATGGGCAGTACAGGGTGTGAAATACATAAAGACGTTGTCGACGATACAACATGAAACGGGAATTTTACAAGGGGTATCTCAGATCGATTCCCGACATAATCAAGCTTCTACGACTGCATGTGGCGCACCTCTCTACTCTGCCTGAACTTCCTTGCTGTCCGTGGCCAACCCCAAAATAAACTCCCACTCCTCCTTCCTTACCCTACTCACACTCAGTCTCGAATTTGTGACAAGCTGCATATCCTTCAACCGGCCCTCTTTAGCAAACTCTTTAATCTTCGCTAAATCTATCACATGCTCAAACTCGCTCACAAACTCGACGTCTACACAGAACCATTTGGGCTTCTCCCTCTCGCTCTTCTTGTCATAGTAGGGGTCCTTGGGGTCAAAGGCCGTCTCATCGACCTTTGCTTCGTCAACAACACGCAGTATACCTACGATACCCGAAGGCTTGGCGTTGGAGTGGTAGAAGAAGCCCAGGTCGCCTTTGCGCATGGCCTGCATATTGTTGCGTGCCTGGGGGTTGCGGACGCCGCTCCAGGGCTCGGGTTCTGTGCAGGCGCGCAGGTCGCTGATGGAGAAGGCGACGTTTACGCCGTTCTCGTAGCGCGCGAGGGGCTCGGCTTTGAGCAGCCAGTAGACTTCTTGGGCGCCGGTCGCGTCGCGGTTGGTGGATGAAACAGGCGCGGGTAGAGAGTTCGTCTTAGGAGGTTTAGGCTTGGTTGTAGCAGCTTTTTTGGGCGGAGGAGCGCTGCTGTCTGTTGTATCTTGGTCGGCGTCGTCTTCGCGGTCACGCTTGCGACGCATCGCCTGCCTGGCATTGCGCTTGAGCTGTGTCTCTTCGACGGATGAACTGTCGTCTTGGTTGTATTTTGGTGCTGCCGCTGCCGTTTGACGCGTAGATCTTCGTGTGCCAGCCATGATGAGGTTGTGGTAGAGTTGCAATGCTCGTCGACGTTGAGGTGCTGTAGTCTTCTAAGGAAGCAAAAAACGTAAAAAGTAAACTAAATGTCTAAATAAAACGTTTTATTTAATATAAGTTATTTAGCTGCTAGTCTAACTAGTAATATTAAATTTAATATTTTATTTATTTAGCTATCTAAACTAATAGTAACTAAACTCTAGCTTATAACTTAATATACTTCTTTATTATAAGTATATAGTTTTACTCTATAGTATTAATATAAGTAGCTTTAGTTTATATAAGTACTATTACTTTTTATATTATATTCTTAAAATAGTTAACCTTTTTATAAATTCTTTAGATTTTTAAGTAACTTATATTTATAAATATTAGTGTTATATATATATATATATATACTTTACTTACTAGTATACTTACTAATATAGTACTTAACTACTCTAAAAATAATTTTTTTTTTTTTTTTTTTTTAAAGTTTTAAGCTTTTACTTATTAAAGTATATTACTATTCTATTATAATTCTATATTTTAAGTAATAATTAGTACTTTACTCTATACTTATAATTAGTAATAAAGTAATTAAAAAAAATCTATTTTTTTAGTGTATAGTAAATAGTATAATTTAAACTTATACTCTTAGAACTCTATATTTCTATTTAGAGCTTTCTAGTTTTAAATACTAACTTAACTCTATATTAGAGCTTTACTAAAGTTTTACTAGCTAGAGCTATAGTAAACACTAACTTAGTAAGAAAGTCTAACTAATATACTACTATAGAATAGTATCTAAAGAGCTTTATATACTATTAGCTAGTAAGTATATATAGAATTTAGGTATAACCTTATATATATTATATCTACCTAGTAGTAATATAATATATTATATATATATTAGTTAACTTAGGTAGTAAAATTATAAAACCTTAAGTAATTATAAAAAAACTATAAAAGTAGAAAACTATAATTTTATAGTTAAGAAAGTACTAAATAGTATAGTTAAAAGGCTATTTATATATAATAATTAAAATTCTATATTATATATTTTTTTAGTATATAGTAGTAAAATCTAATACTAGTAGAAACTTACTATATTAAAATAGCTACTATAATAAATATATATATTTAGTATAAAAGAACTAAAAAGTATATAACTTTTACTAATATTCTAGTAAGTACTATTATTTATTATATTTACTAACTAAAGAGTATATATAAGTTACTATATATCTAAAATATTCTCTAGGTATATCTAAGTTACTTTAACTCTAGAAATAACTCTTAAAGTTATATTATTATTAGTATTTAGAGTTTTAAGCTTTTAAGAAAGTTTACGTAAAACTAAACTAAGTATTATACTTTTTATAATAAATTAAAGACTTTATATTATATAAAGGCTAGGCTTACTACTAGTTATAAGCTAGTATAGTAGTAGTAAAATTAGCTTAATAAGTCTACTATAGCTAGCTTAAATAACGTATTATTTAAAGACTTTCTAAGTATCTATAATTAAGTCTAGACTATCTTTCTATAAGTATAAGCCTTTCTCTTTATAAGTATATAAACTTTTCTCTTTATAAGTATATAAACTTTTCTTTTATTTTCTAAAATAACTCTAGATTAAATTAGCTAACTAATATAGGCGCGTATACGCTTATAATAAGTAACTTTAATAATATATAGTAAAGAATAATAATAAAGAACTAAAAAAATAAATATAGTAGATATTAATATAAATAAGTAGATTAGTAAAGTATATTAGTAAGAAAAAAAAAGAGATAAGCTAGTATTATTATTATTATTAGTATTTATATAGTTATATCTATATTATAATAATATAATTAAATTATAAATAAATACTAAGTACTAAGTACTAAGTAATAAGTAAATACTACTACTTTTATATACCTAAATTTATAGTAATAAAGCTATAGTAAACTCTAAAAATAATAATATAATAATTTTAACTACTAAAGTTAGTAGTAAGATATATAAAGTTTTTTTAGCTTACTACTTTAGTTTTTAAGCTATTTTAAATAGCTTAAAACTAAGTAAGTTAAGTTATATATAAAATATATATTATAAACTTAATATTTATAATAGTATATAAGTTAGAAATTATAATAAAGTTAAAATAAAAGTAGTAAAATAAAATTTTATACTACTTATAAGCTTTCTAAAACTTTACTTATAGTTATTATAACTATTTAAGTTACTACTAAACTTTAGTTATTAACTAAATTTTTCTACTATTTTATAGTACTAGCTACTACTTTATTAAGTAGAAATCTAAATCTTAAGTAGTAATACTTATAGCTTAAAGAGCTACTAATTCTAAAGAGATAAGAACTGTTACTAGTACTTTAAAAAACGTATAACTAAATCTTTTACCTACTCTTAGAGATATAGCGTTAAGCAAGCTAAGGCTTAGAGCCTTAGCGCTACTACCTCTAAAGTAGTTAAAGCTTCTAAATCTTTTAGGCTAGCTAAGAAGCTATTCTATAAATACTAAACACTCTATAAAGAGATTATAATATAATTATATATACTTATTAGCTTATAACTAATAGAGTAATATATTCTAAAGCTTTATAGTTAGAATATATATACTAAAAGTTTAGTAAAAGCGCACTTCTTCTAACCTCTATATTTATATATCTATACACTAAATTAAGCTAAAGACGTAAGTAGCTTAAATCTAACACTAAACACTATACTAGCTTATTAAACTATTTGTAAGTCTCTCTAGTGTTTATAAAGATAAAACTAATCTCTTACTAGTTACGTTGCCTTACTAATACTTAACTAAATTATTTTATTATTAATTTACTTTAATTACTTTTCTCTAAATTACGTTGCTATTACTATATAAAGCTGCTATAAGCTACTCTATATCTACTAGAAAGAAGACTATTAGAGAGGCTATTCTAAAGGCTATTTTAGTAGCTATAAGATAAGATATTATCTATAATATTATACCTAACGTCTTAGGCGCTCTAAGAAGTATTCTAAAATATATAAAGAGCTACTTTATTAACACTTTTATTAAAGCTTTTATTAAAACTTCTATTAAAGCTTTTATTACTACTATCTTATATATGTATTTACCTAGAGTAAGGCTATTAATTATCTCTTCTATTAGCCTTACTATTAAGAAACTTCTTATTACTAATATATATAAGTTCTTCTACTAACCTAAGCTTATTATTAATATAGATTAGATTAATCTTATTACTATAGACACGCTAGAAGCTTAAGCTATTTATATTTATACCTTTATATATAGACTAGTACTAACTATAAAATCTCTCTCTAAGCTTATTTATAATACTATAGTCTTGCAAATTAGTACTTTAAAGAGAATTCTTAGTTATCTTAATAGAAAATTAGATAAAGATAAGAAGGCGTTTGTAAATAGTCTCTTAAGTATTACTATAGTTAAGTAGATAGAGGCTATAATAGTTGTTTAGAATTATTCTTAAGCTATAAGTAGGTAGTTACCTTTACTAGTTACTAAGTATCTAGATAGTTAATATAGCGTTACGTTAAGGTTAATAGAGAATAAATATAGCTAGTCTATTATACCTATTACTATATATTATATTATTTCTAGTTATTTCTAGTTATAGTATAAAGAAAGTTATATAGGTAAGTGTAGAATAAGTCTATACTAAAACAACTATATTACTGTAGTAATATATACTAAATTAATATTAAAATTATTTAGTAGTTCTAAAAAGAACTAGTATAAAGTCTTTTAACGTTTTTTAATATCTTTTAACATTGTTTTACTATAAAGATAACTAAATTAGGCTTAAGGCACTAACTAGCTACTACTTACTTATTTAAAAAGTAATATTATAATACTATACTACTAATTTTAATACTAAAAAAAATAATTAGTAATTATATATAATTTATATAACAAACGCGCAGCAAGATAAGTAAGGTGCTGTACGCCGCGAGCGTGCAGCGCTCTGACGCTATTGGCTGATATCTCTCGTGTTTGCCGCTTGTACTTCGCTCCGCACCTCGACACAGTATTTGCCACCCGAAGGACATCCGAAGGACATTTTATGGACCCGTTCGAGCCAGAACCTCGTCAAAATGTCACTCGACGACTCAAATAGCCATGCTCCGCTATGATACTATGCAGGCATCTCCTCGGTCTGAGGCTATACGCGCGATTAAGCGCACCGCGACGTAAAGTCAAATATTCAAACCAGAACCCTCGGCTTTGTCGTGTCGGAATGCTCAACCGGCAGTATTCGCGCAGCCCTTGTCGTAACTCAGCGGTTTCCTCCACGTTCAGATTCGACCCATACCGAGCGCAGACCGGACCGACAGCGCATCGGAGAGCCGCCACGAGCAGCAATCACCCAAACCACCGCGCGGCAATGAGAGGCGTAAACAACGATCATCCAAGCTCCATCTTAGGCCCGGCCATATCATGCACGATCCGGGACCGCCGCTTTCCTCCCTAGCGGTCGTGTCCTTGCACATCACGGTCCGGCCAACTGCCTCAACCTAGACAAGTTCATGCAACTCTACGGAGCACCCCACTAAATTTATAGACCCGACAACGCCGCTACGGACGTAGCTACGACGGAAACTCCGGTTGGGTAGTAGTACCTACCTAGCAAAGACCAACATTCGGCCGACATGGACTCCATTTGTGAGGGACAAGATGTAACGAGACTTGGCACTGGTATACATAGAAGACTCTTGCCCTTTCTTTACCAATTACAACAAGCCATTTCAAGTACGTTGCATTGAGATCAACCATGGACGCTTTCACCAAGAAGACCCTGAGAACCTCCCGAGGCATCACATACACCTACTACACGTGCTCTGGCAACACGTCTCTCCCAACCCTCCTCTTCCAACACGGCTTCCCCGACCATGCCGCCATGTGGGCAGACGTCGCTAGCTCTCTCCGACCACTAAACCACCCCGTTATCATTCCCGACATGCTGGGCTACGACGGAACGGACAAGCCCACAGACCCATCCGCCTACACCTGGGACCATATGACCAACGACATGGTGGAAATCCTCAATGCTGAACAAGCGCCAAAATGCATCTCAATCGGCCACGACTGGGGCTCCGCAGCCGCAAGCCGCCTGTACAACTACCACCCCGAACGCGTTGTCGGCTTGGTCAACCTGAACGTCGCCTACACGGCACCAAGTCGCAAACCCTTCGATCTCGACGCCGCAAACGCCCTCATGAACAACATCTTTGGCTACCCATCGCTATCGTACTGGTACCTCTTCACCGCGCCTGACGGACCAGCACTTCTATCCCGCGATATAGAGGCCATGTTTAACATGATGCACGACAAAGATGGATTGAAAGAGTTCTTCTGCACCCCCGACACCATGCGTGAAACACTCTCCGGGCAAAAGGAACCAACCTTTTCTCTCCGACCCTATGCGCAAGACCCAGCTTTCAAGAAGGCGTTCCTTGATCGTATGGCGCGCGATGGGTTCGAAGCGCCCGTGTGCTGGTATAAAGCCATGACAGGCAATCTGCAGCATCAAGTCGATGTCAAGTTGCCTGAAGGGAGAGAGATTGTCAATGTACCCACGCTGTACATCGGATGCAGAGAGGATGTGGTGTGCAGACCCGAAGCCATGTATGAGAGTATTAAAAAGGGCTTGTTGCCGCAATTGGAACAAGCGGATATGATTGATGCGGCGCATTGGGCGACGTATGAGAAGCCTGCCGAGGTGGTGAAGCGGTTGGAGGATTGGCTGAAGAGGAAGTTTGCGCAGTGAGTCTGTGTAGCATCGGCAGCTGACTATCTATGCATAAAACTTAGACAGATGTGACATGGTTTGCAGGAAACAGTTTTCCAACACCACAGTAAACACCCCAATACCAGTCTCCATTGATATCAGCTGCTTCCCTTATCTCTGCTCCTCTAGGAAAGGATAATTCATCTTCTACTCCTTCATCCGGCAGATAGCCCCATCTAGCCAGTAATCTCAAGCCTATACCGCCATCTGGTGGGTACCGCTGTACTCTGGCCATTTCGTCTTCTTCTTTCAGTGCGTAGCCGCCTACTAGATCGCGGACAACCATGCGCCGTTGTGCGCCGTCACGGTCTTCGAATCCTACAATGTACATGCGATGGCTGCGGAGGCACTTGCGCCATCCGTTTACGCCGTCTTCTTTGGTGATGCGACCGCTGATGACGAGTTTGTGGTAGCAGCTCATGCAAATGTCGTAGTCGCCAGTGTTACACTTGAGGCAGTGATAGCGTGTGTTTGATGGTGGGATAGGGTAACTGCATATGTTACACAAGGTTGTAAAGGTGAGAGGGCGGAAGATGAAATTCGCAATGGTAAAGTACCCTGGCCCTCGCATAAGAGACGCGGATTTCGGTGTCAACGGAGGGGTTGTGGGTGTTGCGTCGAGGTCTGGGGGAGCAAGATGTCCATCCTGACGTGGCGTAGAGGGCGCGGAGGGAACTGTGTCAGTAGCAGACTGCGAGTCTCTTGTCTTGCGGGCAACGGGAACAAGAGGATGCGTACAGTGATGCCCCTGATTAACGCAATCATTGCAATAGCCCCAGTCGCCGTCGTTGCAATAGTCACATTTCCAGTAGCAGGCGTTGGCGTATGCCTTGCACATATCGCAGAAGACGCCAATTTCTACCCTCTGCTTGGGGTCATCCTCGCTCATGAGCACATGTGGTGGTGTCGTGGATTCCGTCAAGGGCGTCATGGGTCTGCGATATCGGTGCCCGACCAGGATATGGGGATGCTCGTGATAGGGCGGATAACCACCCTCTGGTGCTTCGCGCTCATACCGGGGCCAAGCAGTCCAACCAAAGCCGTACCAATGCTTGCATCCTCTGCCAAGACGATAGCAGCGAAGACACACGTTGTACTCGCCACCATCGCAGCGTCGACAATTGTAGTGAAGCTCGTACTGTATGTCGTTTTTACCACAGCGTTGGCATGCCACATGGGGCTCTGTATATAGGACAGGAGTACCTAGTGATGAGCTTGAAGCTTGTCTCGATCGAGTCTCGCTCACGGTCGGATCGGGGGTGGAGCGAGGGAAAGCAGGAGGCGATAGCGAGGGGGGAGTAGTACTGTGAGAAGAGCGTGGCAGTTCGGCTGTGGTAGGGTCGGTAGTACGGCGAGCCGAAGGAGGCTGGAAAGGCGTGACGGCAGGAGTAGAGGAAGACAAGGGCACAGCTGGAGTGCCAACTGTAGCTAGAGAAGTCGTTGGACTGCCGCTGTTGGGCAGATCGAAGCCGAGGCTCTGGGGCGAGCTAGGACTTGACACTGTCTCATTGTTGTTATTGTTGTTGCTGGCGTGGAGACTGATGCGGAACTGCTCTCGAACGTCGAGCCTATTTCTCTGCTGATTTTCGGACTGTCGCCGTGGCCTTGGACGAGCGAGTTCCGATGATGAATGACAGTCGCCGGACGCCGGATTTGCAGGAGCCGAGCCAGGTGCAGGGCGCTCTACCCTCGTGGCGGATCGAGAGCTGCCCTGGCTTGACGATCGCTGGCGCGGTGCCCGCCCGCCTCGATTTGCGGCGTCGATGAGAGCAGGTCTGGATATGGGGGGTCCTACTGCCGTCTGGGGCGTCGATGCGCCACTCTCGGAACGTCCATGCCTTCTCCTGCGCGCAGCTTCGTCGTCCAGACGCTCCCGCCTCTCCCTCCTCTCGCGCTGTCTTTCGGCATGTCGCTCTGCCTGCCGCCGTCGCACAGCCTCGGCTATCCTCTCGGTGATCTCGTCTTCCTGCGCAGTGCCAATCTGGTTCAGGTCGACGCCCTCGGACACCAGCTCCTCCAGCACCTGGCGCACGAGATCTTCGTCGACGTCTTCTGCGTCGAGGTCCGAGGCGCTCAGCAGAGAGCGCAGGCTGGACTGGTGCTCGATGGCGCGGGGCGGTATGACGGCCCTGGACGGGGATGCGCCGGGCGGGTTTTGGCTGGCAGACCGCCTTTGATCGCGCGCCCTGCGGGATTCGCGGCTCCCGTTGCGGCTTCGCTCCCTTGTTGTGCGCTCTCTCCGAGGCTCCCGGCTGGCCCTCCTGCTGCTTGCGATGCCCGCGTCCCTCAGACTCGGCTGCTGAGCTGCCTCGAGCATGCGCTGATGGGTGTCATCGCGCTCATCCCGGCGCCTGAGCTTGGGTAGCACATTGTCGCCTGGCCGGTATCTGTCGCGGTCCGCCTGCTTCTCTTGGGCGCTTTTGCCGCTCTGGGGGTTCGCCTTGAGGAAGATGTCGAGCAGCGTGGTGACGGTGGCATTGGGCTGTGTGGTGCGCACCGAGGCCCGGCACGAGGGGCAGGTGTACGGGTGTATCGACGTGGCGGTCGAGGCTTGGAAGGCGAACCACTCCTTCAGACAGGCGCCGCAGAAGGTGTGCAGGCAGTCGAGCAGTGTGAGCGGCTGGTAGAGCACGTCGGTACAGATCTGGCCATGGCCGAATTAGCAGCCGCCTCGTCGTCGTGCTCCTCGACTTACCGAGCACGTCAGTTCCTTTTCCAGGTCGCCCTGGACTCCGCCAGCGCCCTCGCCCTCGGCCATGGTTCGTCGCAAACTGCTCGTCAGGCGCCTGCGGTTGACTCTCAGCTAGACTGCACACTTGGCGAGCCTCGACGGTACAAGGCGCCGTAGCATATGCATGCCAGCACACGCTTTCATCGGCCCGCTGCAGCCTCTATGTTGCTTGCCGCAACGAGCGCACACTTCTCATGTCGCTACGTCACGCGACTTGCGCACGTGTCAGCACCTCAGAACCCCGGAGTCGGTGAGAGACGGCATCAAACATGCGACATGTCGTGACCAGCACAGGCGCCTGACGCCTCGTCCGTCTCGCACCCTCCCATTCTGGCATATATCAAGCTATCCGGTCCTGTAGCACCTGATGTTTGGTACATCGTTTCACCTGTGCTGCAGCCACCGCAACTTGCCCCTGGCCCAGGCGTACCCAAGACACGGTTCACGTCACTGGCTTCTTTCCGCGACCGTCAGGTATCCACGCGTTCACGCCTGAGGTTTCGAAACCTTGATCTTCAAGTCAGTGCCATCGCATGCAAGTCCAAAACAGAAAGACTGGGCGGCAGGCTCATAAATCGCATATCTACAACTATATCATATAATCCCTTCCTTCCTCATACATTCTTACATACAGGCTCCCACAGTCATCCCCCCTTTCAACCATTATTCTTATATACAGAAAAGACCGATTGGCTAGTCGCCAGCACATAGCCGTCACCTTGCTAATCCTTCACATCATCTTCTCAATCAAGTACCAAGCCTAGTGCTCAGTTGTTGTTGTTGTTGTTGTTGTTGCCACCGTTGCCGCCCTGGGACTGTTGTCCAGCACCATTACCTGCCTGTTGGGGCTGGTTACCTCCGGCCTGGGTCTGACCCTGAGATGCTTGGCCTGCAGCCGCACCGTTGCCTGCCTGTTGCTGGGAACCGCCGTTTTGCGTCTGGCCTTGAGACTGCTGTCCTGCAGCCGCACCCTTGGTTCCCTGCTGTTGGTTGCCATTGTTCTGGTTACCACCATTTGGTGTCGCCTGTTGTCCATTCTGCTGTCCCTGCTGCTGTCCCGTTTGTTGTCCAGCTTGTTGACCTTGTTGTGGAACCTGCTGTCCGGCGGCACCTTGAGCTCCCTGCTGGGGAGCCTGCACACCTGTAGTTCCCTGGGGTGCTTGTCCGTTGGTAGGGGAGATGCCGGCGCCTTGCTGAGGCGCTTGTCCGTTGTTCGTAGCAGTGCCAGTATTGCCGGCGGCAGCACCACCAGCTGTTCCGGTATTCTGGACTTGGCCATTGCCAGTTCCTTGAGCAAGAGCCTGACCAGCGGCAAATGCAGCGGCGGGGCTACCTGCTGGCGCACCAGGCTGAGTGGGGCCAGTCCCCTGGACACCACCAGCAACGCCAGTCTGGTCGCAGACAGTGGGACGAACTGCCTGCGAGGTAGATCCAGTAGAGGCCATGTAGGCATCAATGTTGGGGAGGACGTTAACGCAGCGGTTCTGGTTGATCAAGTCGATGTTACCAGCGGCAGCCATTCCCTGAACAGACATCTGCTGAAGCTTGTCGACGACATCCTGGAAAGAACCGCCAGTGGCGAGGGTGCTGTTGGCAGCAATGACATTGGGGTCCGCGCCGTTAGCAGCGTCAATGATGGCCTTGTGGTTGAGCTCATCGACCTCGGCGTTGAAGGCTACGGTGGCAGCCTGCTTGAACTGAACGTTGTTCTGGATGCTAGCTCCAGTGTTGAGGAAGTTAGAAACCATCGAGGTATCGGCCATCCAATTGGAGACCGCAGTAGCGAGGTCGTTCGCAGTGGGAGTTTGTCCATTTTGGATACCAGCGCCAAGTCCAGTCGGGGCATTGGTGGTGCCTTGCTGTTGCTGGTTTCCGGTCTGCGCTCCTTGTTGCTGTTGTTGCTGATTGCCGCCCTGGTTCGTAGTCTGTTGACCAGTCGTGGCGGCAGCAGTATTGCCGTTACCACCGTTGCCGCCCTGCACCTGGGCGAATGGGGCAGCGTAAGCTGCAGAGCTAAGGAGCGAGGCAATGAAAATGTACTTCATTTTGTCTGTGAGAACGGATCTGTCGAGTGGACTAAGATTATGAGTAGAGATATCAAAGAGTGAATGGAATGCTGAGGTTGTAGAGTGGAAAATATTAGTCTGTAGTGAGTGAGGAACCAGTCCGATGAAGACTATCAGGATGATGGGAGCTGTGGTATTTGTATCGCCTCTGTTACAACTTCGGAAAGCCTTGCCGTCAAGGCATGATGGTGGGCAGGCCTATGCATCGTAACAGTCTGGGGATCAAGCCCTAGGGCTCGCAGCCCTTGGCGTCAAGTCAGGTAGCACACGCTTAGCTCAATGGCGTAGTTTCGAAGTATGCCATATTTTGAATCAGGCGCTTCCAAATGGCCTTCCAAATTGCCGAGACCCTCAAAGCGAGCGATGCCGAAGTTCAGCCCTAAACTCAAACAGGACGTTTCGCAAGGTACGCCATGTCGTGCATGTAAGTTGGATTAGTTAATGATGTTTTGCAAGCCGATGTCATTGTTTTGACAGCGTCTGGGAACAGGTTTCGTCGGTCTTGGCGCCCGAAGCTTGCAGGCGATCATCAGATCTTGTGTTGAACCTTAGTCCAAACGCCCCACAATTGTTCCAGATCGACACAGGCAGGCTTCAGGTCGCCCAATTCCTGTTGCGTGCTCATACGACTTGATCGCGCTGTGTATCTGTGGATTAGATCCTTGAGTACGCACAATGATGCTTCATTAGACTATAGAGATGTGTAAGCAAAAAGATTTACGATATTGTTTGTTGCAAACAATTTGTCAAGATAAACAAGTTTCGCGTCGAATCTGTTCATAATCGTATCCGTATTGCAAATATCTAAGATCTTAGAGGATTTTCAGAGGCGTGCAATCATTCATCGCCCCGTTTGGAAAATGCTGAGGGAAGCTGGAAGCGGCAAGAAGCGCTAGAGTCCACTGAAGCACGGCGTAACAAGGTCTGGTGTATCAGTTGCAGGAGCAGCAGAGATTTGTAGGGAGGGTTATGCGACTGTAGCCTTCTCTTCTTACATTGCCATTCCAAATGCAGTTCGGAGTCCGAGAGAACTCGTGATGCTCGATTTGAGAGTTGTGAAACTGCCGCTCGTAACGAGGGGAAGCCCATTGCGAGGGTGACTGATATACAAGTCAGTGCTGCAGGTCGTTCTGCCAGCCAGCATAGCGACTATTGCTTTCAGAGTCCATCTCGGTCTCGATCTTGCGGATAATGCGAGCGGGATTGCCAGCGACGACTGTAAACTCTGGGACGCTCTTCGTAACGACGCTTCCTGCGCCTACGACGCTGCCTCTACCAATCACAACACCAGGCAGTATGCAAACATTGCCACCGATCCAGCAGTCTTCGCCAACGTGGATCTCCTTGCCCAACTCAGGCCCGCTAAGGCCGTTCCGGATGGCTGGGTCGAGAGGATGAGTAGCTGAGTAGAAGTTGACGTTCGGACCGACGAGTGTGCGTGCGCCAATAGTAGTAAGACAGGTGTCGAGGAAGACGGCGTGGAAGTTGACAAAGACATGTTTGCCCAAACGCACATTATATCCATAGTCCATAGTAACCGGTGGGTTAATCCATGGTTCAGCCTCGAACAGCTTGGCGTCTTCATCTGTTGTAGGTGCTGGTGGTGGAAGAGGGGTTTCGTCTTGGATGATGCTAGGCAAAGTATAAGGACGTCTCTCGACAAGCAATCGAGCAGCCACACATACTCTCGAAACAGTTGGACTAGCCTGCGACGCGGTACATCACCGGCATCGTTGAAGCGTCTGCAAGCTTGCCTGCATCGTGCGCGCTCTGCTGTCAGCTCAGGCGTCATGGCATGGTAGAGCTCGCCGCAGAGCATACGCTGCTTGTTCTGCGAGATGTCCATGGCTGGCATGCAGGAAGCTGGCTGCCCGGCGCATGCTACCGAGGCCGGTGTGACGGTTGTGAAGGAGCACAGGTCGCGGGAGCTATGCGCGGGGCGCCAAGGCCCTCGGCTGTTCCCGAGGCCAGCCGGTCCTGGATAGTCGCTCACGCCTTGCTATTGTTCGGCCTCCGCAAGCCATGCGATCGGGGTTGTGCAGCAGGGCCCCTTCTTCTGCGCCTTGGTAGAACCATGTCTTGAACGCCATCGTCCATCCCGTCCTCGCCCCCCGAGCTCCCCGTACTTGACCTCTACCTGCCTGCCATCATCATGGCTCCGAACGGCTCGCTATCCCCCGGTGTCGATATTCTCCCGCCCAACGGAAATGCATCACGCGAGCTTGAGGCCTCAACTGTGGCGGCTAGGAGCCAGCATGCCATCGCGCCCGAGTTCTTTCCCCACGGCAAGCGCTCGCTTTGTGGCATCGCCGTGCGTGCTTTCTGCTTGGGATGCGCCATGACTCTCGGCGTCGTCGGTACGGCTCTGCTAGCATACGACGGCAATCATCTATGGCGGCCTTTCATGTTTCTCAGCGCGCTGTCCATGTTCCACTTCCTCGAGTTTTACACGACGGCCGCGTACAACACCCCAGTCGCGTACATCTCCTCGTTCCTCCTCACCAACGGCGACCAATACCGACAAGCCCATACCATGGCCTTCATCGAGACTCTGGTGACTTCGTCTTTCTTTCCCGATTACCAATCGACAATCCACCCGCCGTGGGTCATCGCGCTGGGCATAAGCATGGTCGTGGTGGGACAAGCTGTGCGCAGCACAGCGATGATGCAGGCGGGTACCAACTTCAACCACCAAGTGCAGTCGCGTAAGAGCGATGGGCACGAATTGGTGACCCATGGACTGTACCGCTACTTCCGTCACCCCTCGTACTTCGGTTTCTTCTGGTGGGGCATCGGCACACAGGTCATGCTGGGTAACACTGTCTGCTTCTTGGGATACACAGGCGTGCTGTGGTATTTTTTCATGACACGCATTTCACGTAAGCCTTACACACCCATGGCCCCATTCAAGCTGCTCACCCATCCTAGACGAAGAAAAACATCTAATCGAGTTCTTCGGCG